GGATCTAGCTCTGCTTCTGCCCAGGCCTTCACATTGTGCATCCCAGATAGTACTGGATTTATCTGACCCATGTTTTATTGTCCTTCATCTTTTCAAGAGACTCGTTTCATGCTACCTAGTTGGTAGCATCTGACCCAGTGCTGGGCACAGCCAATCACTCCCTCCTTCTGCTGGTTCTCCTGCCTTCCTTGCTGTTTCTTCTCCTCTTCCTCTCCTCTACAGATTGGGGTGCTCCGGGCTCTGTTCTGGGTCTTCTTTCCATCTACACTGTGTCCCTAAGTGACCTCATCAGTCTCTGGGGTTTAAGTACCAACTATTCTCCGGGGATTCACTGAGGCTTATCCTAGCACAGACCTCTCCCCTGATTTTCACACTCCTACAGCTACTGGCCTTCTTTTTTTTTAAAATATATATATATAGATATATTTTTTTAAACATCTTTATTGGAGTATAATTGCTTTACAATGGTGTGTTAGTTTCTGCTTTATAACAAAGTGAATCAGCTATACATATACATATATCCCAATATCTCCTCCCTCTTGCGTCTCCCTCCCACCCTCCCTATCCCACTCCTCTAGGTGGTCACAAAGCACCGAGCTGATCTCCCTGTGCTATGTGGCTGCTTCCCACTAGCTATCTATTTTACGTTTGGCAGTGTATATATGTCCGTGCCACTCTCTCACTTCGTCCCAGCTTACCCTTCCCCCTCCCTGTGTCCTCAAGTCCATTCTCTACATCTGTGTCTTTATTCATGTCCTGCTCCTAGGTTCTTCAGAACTATCTTTTTTTTTTTTTTTTTTAGATTCCATATATATGTGTTAGCATACGGTATTTGTTTTTCTCTTTCTGACTTACTTCACTCTGTATGACAGACTCTAGATCCATCCACCTCACTACAAATAACTCAATTTCGTTTCTTTTTATGGCTGAGTAATATTCCATTGTGTATATGTGCCACTCATCTTTATCCATTCATCTGTCGATGGACACTTAGGTTGCTTCCATGTCCTGGCTATTGTAAATAGAGCTGCAATGAACATTGTGGTACATGACTCTTTTTGAATTATGGTTTTCTCAGGGTATATGCCCAGGAGTGGGACTGCTGGGTCATATGGTAGTTCTGTTTTTAGTTTGTAAAGGAACCTCCATACTGTTCTCCATAGTGGCTGTATCAATTTACATTCCCACCAACAGTGCAAGAGGGCATTCTTAGTCACCTCTGTACTTGGGAGATCTAAAAGGCATCTCAAACATAAAACATTCAAAATGGAGCTCTTGGTTTCCACCACCTCCCGCTCTGTCCCCACCAACCTGCTCCTCCTCCCAGCACATAGTCTCACCCTTGATACCTTTTTCTCGACACCCACAGCCAATCCCATCAGCAAAGCCTGTCAGGTCTACCTTGAACATGTATCCTGGCTACTCCACCTGGTCCAACGCCCCCCTCCCCTCCCTGTGCCCTGGGCTACTTCAGAAGCCTCCTAAGTGAGGGTCCCTTTTCTACCCTTGGCCCTCTCAGTCTGTTCTCTACCAGCAGTCAGAGCAATTCTTTTAAAATGTAATTCAGTCATGTCACTCCCCAGCTGGCTTCTCTCACTTAGAACAAAACCCAAAATCCTGAGTATGGCCTATCAGGACTCCACCACCCCTCTGATCCAGCCCCTAGCACTCTTCATTCCATAATTCTTCTCGGAAACACCATCCTACTTGCTGTTCCTAAAGAAGGCAAGCAAATGCCTGCCTCAGGGCCTTTGTACTTGCTGTTCCCTCTTCCTGGAATGCTCTTCTACATATATCCCCATGGCTCCTTCCCTCATTTCTTTTATGTCTTTCCTCAAATATCACTTCTTCAGAGAGGTTTCCCTGACTATCCTATAAAAAGTACTATCTCGTCACTCTTTATCCCCTCACCCCAGTTTATTTTTTTCATAGCATTCATTACTACTTGGCATTATATGATACTTTCATATATGATACTTTGGTTTACTTGTCTGTCTTCCCCACTAGAAAGTGCTCTCTAAGAGGGCAGAGACTTTGTTTTCTTATTCAATGGTTAGAGTACTGCCCAGCATATATTAGTAGCTCAGTCAATATTTATTGCAGGCATGAATGAATGACTGATTAGCAAATCCCTAGAATGCAGAGGCTCTTTCTGACCTTCTTATTTATTCCCCCAGCCTCTTCGGCCAGATTCCTAGCTTTGGGCAGGGTACAGTGTAGATGCCCATAAATGTATGATTGCTGAACAGTCAATAAATACTTTTTGAGCAAATGAGTTACCAAGTTCTTGCAACATGCAGATGCAGTGAGCACAGGGGTAGCCCTCTTTTGAAAAGCTGGTTCTCTCGGGTAGAAGTCTTAGTCTCTGTTGCTCCCTCCCCTCACCTTGGTATCCTGACTCCAAGGCTGTGACCGGGAAGGACATGCAAGTACTGCTGGTCTGCTGGTGGCCTTGGGGAAACTGCACAAGCCCAACAGTCCCTGCTCAGTGGCCTGGAGACTGTTGGCTCATCCAACAGGATGCTCTGCAGGTATCAGCTGGGAACAGTGTGGTCATTTACCAAATGGTTACCAAATGACCAGAGAAGCCAGTGTTTGAATTCCTATTTAATCCTAACTGTCCTGTGGGGTAAGCACTATGAACCTCATCGCAAAGTTAAGGAAACTAAAGCTCAGCGAGACTGCTTGCCCAAGGTCTCACTGGCAGTGAGTGACAGGATTGAGATTTGACCCCAGTTCTACCTAACTTCAGACAACAGACAACAGTGGACATTTGTTGAGGCTTCACTAAGTAAAAGGGTCTATTTAAGCTTCCTACACATCTGTAGATCTCATCTGGTACTAACAATAAACACACTAGTTAAATATTATTGTTATCCCTATTTAACAAATTGGAGAACTGAGGCACAGAGAGGTTAATAACTTGCTCCAGGTCACACAGCACTTTCCATGACAACACACTACCTTTAAAATGTTACCTCCAATGACTAAGAATTTATTTAGGTTACAAACCATTCCCAAGGGGTGAATTTGCTCTGAAACGCTAAGGAAGGGACATCTTAGAAAGCAGTAAACAGGCAAGGTCTCTCCTCTGCTGCTTCATCTTCTCTCCACAGTTCCTAGATGATCTCCACCCTGGGAGGGGAAGGTTGCTGCTGCCTCCACCCTGGGAGGGTAAGGTTGCTGCTGCCTCCGAAGCAACAGGGCACAAAGTCCAGCCCCGGCCTTGCCCAGCATGCCCTGCCTGCTCACACAGGGGCATTAATAGGTAATGACTTTCGTGATGCGGAAGAGCAGGGCAGTGGAAACACAGAGGCTTGAGGCCCTTTGGAGCCCATGGGGCCTGTGGAAGAGGAATAGGGGCTAACCCAGGGGCTGAGTCAGACACCAGGGACTCCAGATATAATTCTCTCAAAGAGGCAGAGAAAAGTACCCCATGAGGAGAAGACAAAAGAGGACCTGACATTATTTTCAGCCCAGGGGCAGGAAACTGAAATTCAAGCCTGAGTCATCTTGGGGTGGGGGACGGGCAGTTGTGCTCTTTCAACGTGGGTTGCCTGAAATCTACACTCACCAAACGGCCTCAGCGGCTGAAATTTCTCCCAAGTCCCTTTGCAACAGGATGCACTGGTGAACACTGTCTCACACTCCCCTTGCTATCTGCCAGCCCCCAAACTCCTGCTTGAACTTCCGGTTACCTCTCACCCTTGGGATCCCAAGGCCTCATTTCCAGAAGACTTGCACCAGTATGAGCTGCTCTCTCTGTCCCCCCACCAAACCTTGATTCCAACACTCAGCACCCAGTTGTGGGTAGTTATTAGTGTAGGGTCTGCCTCCCACCCACATGACCAGCCATTTGAGGGCACAGCCTGGGTCTGGCACGGAGTGGGTGCTCAAAACATGTTTCTTAAATGGATAACTGACTGTCGGCCCCTAGCCCCAAGCCCCTGGCTTTTAGCCCCTGTGGCCTCCACACAGGCTGGCTCCTTGGGCTCCCCTGGGCCTCTGTGTGGCGAGAGAGGGGCTAAGCATCCTGACCTTGACTACCTGACCTCTGCCCCCTCAGGCCTGGGAAGGGGGTTGGCTTGGTCTAAAGACACTGCCCCTCTGGGCAGGCCTCAAGGTACTGTCACCCGTCCCTCAGGCAGGGCCTGTGGGTAGCTCCAGACACCCCTGCCTTTATCCTTGGGCTCTGAGGCATCCTCAGGCCTGGTGGGGTGGTCCACTGGGTCCCTTCAAATGGTCCTCTTTGACCTCAGGGCTTCAGTGACTCCTGCACAGCTCTGCAAACAGTTCTGGAAAGCCTGGGTGAAATCCAGTAGCTTTCCGTGATGGTCTCTGAGGATCCCGGGCCACCAATGAGGCCCCTCACTGGGACACACCAGGGGAGAGCCCGAAGGCTCTGGCCGACTGCCTGAGCCTCCTCCCTTCCTCCCACTGCCCCCTGGCCAGCCCCAGGTCCTCAGCTACTTCTCAGGCCGCCAGAAATGCCCTTAAGTGGGGAGGGGCCTGCCTGGAGTGCTTCGAACTGGAATTTTGAGGTCAAAAGACAGAAGGAAGCATCCACTTCCCCTCTCTACCAGTCCTCACCTCTCAGACACTACCCCAAACCCTCTCCACACGTTCCAACAGCCCAGAGCTGGAAGCGCCGGGAGGGAGGGGGTTTGCCCACTATGGGCTATCTCAGAGAAGTATCCTGTCTCAGACCAAGACTGGAAGGAATCCTAACCCCAGACAAATCCCAAACCTGGAGCGCAGAAAGAGAAAGGACACTTTAAGGAGATCAGTTTAGTGGTTCCTATACCTGGAGTCCCAGTGCACCTCCCTCATTTTACTGGGGATCCCTGCTGGCAACCAAATGACCCTCGGGGTCCCAGCCCACCCAAAGCCCCAGGCCCTGCTGGGAAAGCAAGGGGTGGTGCCGAGGGTGTCCACTTCCCACCCACTCCGCCCCGGACTCCGGGGTCCGGGGCGCTTGAGGGGCCCCTAGCAGCTCTGACCTTGTGACGGAATTCTCGGGCCACCTTCCGGTCCATGGCTGAGCCAGATAGAACCGCTTGCTACACAACTAGCTCCTTCGGGTGCCGGTGCTTGGTTGCCCCGGGCCGGCAGAGGCGGAGACCCTGACAGGCGGGGCCTGGGAGGGAGGGGGCGGGACCTGGGACGGGCGGGGCGGGGCCGCGGGGAGACGGGAGGCCAATGTCCTGAATCGCGTCGTCTCTCACTGACGCCCTAGAGCAAACGGGCTGGAGTGTGTGTCAGTGATGGTGGCACCAGTGGTTGGACCTGAGGCTGGCGCTGCTCTTGGAATGGCTCCCAAACACACGCAGTTGAGGGAAAGGATCTCAGGAAACTGTCTGTCACCCTCTGCCAGGCATCTCACCTTCAGTGTGCATTCCTCTGTGGGTTTTTCCCACTTGGAAGACATCTTCTTTTTGTGAATTCCTTGGTGAACCAGTGGGTGGGAGTGCCCCGTCTTAACTGACTTCCCCTCCCACGTTCCCTAGCTCCCCTCCAATCACACACGCACACACACACACACACACACACACTGAAGCATAGAAGGGCCTGGCAATGACATCCTGATTTACAGCTGACCTTTACCCAGGGCCCAGGCCCCATCTGGTTCATTTGATTCAATTCAACCAAAGTTTGCTCGACTCCTAGGTCTAGGGCTGGGGTGCAAAGATAATGATGAACCGACCCTGGGACAGACTGAGAGGAAAGAGGGGGCCAGGAGAGGGGTGATAAAAACAGACGTGAATGGAAAGAGTGGGCACTTTTAATTATGGGGCTTGTTCTTGGATTTAACTCAGGGTCAGGGCCTGCCCTGTTTGCACCATGTCAAGGGACAGGGGACAGGAGGTGGACAGCAGCCCAAATCAGTGAACAACTGTAACTTCAGAGGCACCTAAAGACCCCCTCCTTTGCAGCCCACCACCAACAGCTGAAGTTTTGTCAGCAGACTATTTTTATTTGGGCTAAATTATTGCCTAGTTTAAGATATAAATCCTTCCTGGAGAAGAACCTTAAAATATCATCCATGTTCTCCCCTTCATATTAATTAGTTAAGGTCAGAGATAAAAGAATTGTGAGATTTTCAGAGGCCCAGGAAAGACACACAAAATATATTCCCCTCCAACTTGCCTTGTTGATTTTCTGCATTTCGTAACTATGTCATATGGCTGTTTATTTCGTATATAGAATCCAGGCCGAGCAGCAAATGCCCTTATGAGGGGAATGCCATCCACTGGCACCCCAATCCTTCTTTTACATGACCACTGCCTCCTGCAGACTCTCTCCTTTAAATGCTTCCCTCTTGGTTTTAGGGATAAAACTGAATCCTGGTTCTCCTCTCCCATTGTTACTGAGTCCAAGTTCGAACTGCTCACTGCACAACAGACCAATAAATTGCGAGACGAGTTGTTGGGGCAAGGAACAGCAACTTTTTTATTTTATTATTTAAACATCTTTATCAGAGTATAATTGCTTTTATAGTGTTGTGTTAGTTTCTGCTGTATAACAAAGTGAATAAACTATATGCATACACATATCCCCATATTCCCTCCCTCTTGCACCTGCCTCCCACCCTCCCTATCCCACCCCTCTAGGTGGACACAAAGCACCAACCTGATCTCCCTGGGCTATGCAGCTGCTTCCCACTAGCTATCTGTTTTACATTTGTTAGTGTATATATGTCCATGCCACTTTCTCACTTCGTCCCAGCTTACCCTTCCCCCTCCCCAGCAACTTTATTTTTAAAGCCAGCAGACCAAGAACATGATGGACTAGTATCCCAAAGAACCATCTTCCCCAAGTTAGAATTCAGGCTTCTTTTATACTGAAAGGGGTAGGGGTGAGGTTGCAAATTTCTTGGTGCTGGAATTCTTTGTTCTTATAGCCCTCCAGGTAGGTCTGGGTCACAATGTTCCTATAAAGGTCCAACAAGACAAATGTTTTTCTCTGTTCTGAAACTTTTTATTTCTATATGAATGGGAAAGTGTTACACCTTTAAAGGTCAGAGGCTTGAGAATGGGCTATCCTGTATATTTCAGGCAATTGGCAACATTCTTAACTTGTAGCAAAAGCAATAGAATACAAAGGTTAAAGTAAAAGAAACAGCTTCAATATGGAGTCAGATTTGTCCTTCCCTATTACATCATGAATGTTCCTTTTCAAGCTTCCTCTAAGACAGCCCTGCCTTCACCCATTCCTTAACCAGTGTTCTTTAAGGCTCCATCCTTTGCTCTTTCCTCTTCATCTTCGCATCTAACCCTACGGCTTCAAATACCCTGTGTGGGGATTGTAGAGCCCTGCAACAAGGACACCCTACATCAAGGACATAGGATAAAAACTTGAAATTAACCGAGCCCCCATAGCAATTGTTGACATGGGCTCTCCTAATCTAAACCGGACAGTCCCCCTCACCGCCGCCCCCCCGCCCCCCCCTCCCCCGCCCGCCCAACTCCATATTAGGTAAAATATTCACCAGGTAGCAACCTTGTAGCACCCTGGCCAATCACCTAATGCCATCCTGTGAGCAGGAATTTTCTTTGTCTTCAGGCTATAAAAGTTGACTACTAGCGCACAAAGGGGGTTGCCTCTCCCTGGTCTATCAGGAAGTTGACCTGCTGTATTTGCAGCGCCCCTCACTAACTCTGCTCTTTGCTCTCCATAAACTGACTATTTTCTAAAATACTTTGTGTCTGGAAATTCTTCTTCCAACCTGCGCACGGACCACAATAGGGATAGCTATGTGTGCTTTGTTTACCACTTTATTCCCAGAACAGTGTGTGGCGAGGAGTAGATGCTCAACAAATTGGTTGAATAGATGAATGCATGAATGTACCCCAAATGTATACCGCTGCCCAGGGGCCTATGAAGGCCAACACTATCGTCATTATCATCATCATCATCATCTATACGGCCTGGCATCTAGTTGGTGTTCTAGCACTTAGTTGGCCAAGTGAATGATACAAAGTTTCCCAAGGCTCTCAGTCCTACATTTCTACCATTTTAAAATTCCCCCTGGACAGAGAGGGTATCTTGTTCACAAAATTAAAGTTGTTTTGTCAAAGTATGGCCTTGATGGGAGCAATAATATGGGAATGTGAGGCACTTCTGTCACTCAGTCAACATTCCCCAAGCTGGGGCCTGAGCTAGTGCTGGACATACAGAGGATTAAGCCATGATCCATTCTCCAGAGGTGTTCAAAACTGGGGGACTTGGGGACTCAGGAGGCTGTAGTGGGGAGTGGTGGGAGCACAGGCTAGGACTGCACAGGCCTGAGCCCTGGTCTGCCACTGACCACGGAGTAGCATGTCCCGGGACCTTTGTAAAAGGAGTGCATAGGACCAGACTCATACCGGCATCTTGGGTCTCTGGTGTTAGGGGCTTCGGAAACCCAGGTTCCAGAGCCAGGGATCTCTGAGGAGCAAGGGATGTTGGAAGTTGCACAGACTGCCTCCTTGCTCCCCCAAGGGACTTAGGGCTGAGTGATCTGAATCCAGCCTCCCCTGGGGAGGTGCAGCCTAACGCCAAGAAGGGCAAAGGCGGGGCCACGGGCAGGCGCCTAAATTATGGTAATGAGCTGGGCAGTCCTGTCACTCTAGCTCAGGGCGGAGCCAAGAGCCTGGGAGGCGGGGCGAAGGGAAGCCCAAGGCAAGAGAGCGAGAGGGACGGCGGCCTCCTAAGAGTAGGTGTTACCCTGCCTTCTTGGGAGAGGCACTCGGGACCCTGGCCGTTCGCTCAGGCTTCCTAGTCCCCGCGTGCCCCTATGGGGGCCCCGGCGCCCGCGTTCTGCCTGCTAGTCGCTTGCGTCTGGCTGCCCCGGAGTGAGCCGGCAGGGGAGTCCCTGCCGCTACAGTCTCTCGGTGAGACAGGTGTGGACTAGGGGACCCCAGGGGGCTGGGGGAACGTTTAGGGGGACGGGCCTGAGCAAGTTGGAGAGAGGCAGGAAAGAAAGAAGGTTTGAGGGAGGGCAGGGGGACAGCCAGGGAGTGGGTCGGGGGAGAGGGACCGCAGAAGGAAAGAAAGGTCAGCCACAACCAGGGGAATGGCTCTCAAGCTGGGCAGGGTGGAAGAGACCCAAGTGGGGGGAACCAGAGAGAACTGGGGCACAGAGAGTGGGAAGGAGGAGGGAGACCCTTGTTGGAGAAGAGTCGCCAGGGAGGGGGAGAAAGGATTTGAGAAGGCTGCAGGGAGAGAGAATGGGGTGTGAGAGAGGCTTCCTAGCAGGTGGGGAGCGGGTGGTGGGAGGCGTCGCTTGAGTAGAGAGTAATCCCCCTCCCCAGCCGCAGCACCCACACCCTGGGGCAATGCAGAGCTGCAGCCTGAGCCAGCCCAGGATCCCAGGTGAGTAGGCAAGAGCTTGTGCTGCCCGACTCACTGGTTCCATCTTTATTCCTGGCGTGGGTGACCCCAGGGGTTAGCACAGAGGGTGGGATGGGCCTGGGGGTGGTGGGGAGGCATGGCCCACTCCTATCCCCTCACCCATGCCAGGCTTGTTTCTCATCTAGCCACAGCCGTCAGGAGGCGATCCTTGCCATAGGGGATGCTACAACAGTGATGGGAGGCCAGGTAAGGGGAGGCCTGGGGAAGGGAGGCTTCACTGGGCAGGGGCTTATTTCTCTCTGGGTTGGAGGCTGGCAGGGAGCTCTGTAGGTTGCAGGAAGGGTGCCTTTGCAGTTATTCAGAGGGAACAAACAAGATTCCTAGAATGTGTTTGAAGTATGCAAATTTATAGGATGCCTCTACTCCCACTTTCCTAATCTCTTGGGGCCCTGTAGCCAGTTTATCTATTTATTGATTTAAAAATTGTTTTTTAGAGGAGGAGGGCACAAAGGTGCTATCAGGAGACAGCTGAGCTCTTTCCTTCCCTTGGTGAAAGTAGGAAGGTGAGAGCTTGGGAGAGTGTAGTCTCTTTTCCCTGCCTGGTCTAAACCCTGTCAGAGGCCCTTCTTCATCCCTGAGCAGTGCCCCAGGAGTGCTGCCTTGAGAGGAGAGAGAAAAACCGGGCCACCTGGTGGGGTTTGCAAGGAAGGGTTGGTTGAGAAACAGATCCCTGACTACCATCCTCTGAGTCTTGACCATTCAC